AGTAACGGCCAAGATGACGCAGCCGAGCAGCAGCGCAGCAGCAGCTGCTGCTCGTGCTCACTCTTCATTGCAGAATCGGTTTGGAGGAGCCGCCGGGGCCCCCCACCCATTTTAGTTTGTGTCCGCCGCGCCATTAAAAACTGAGGCACTAATAATAAACATGTTAAAAAAAGAAAACGGGAAAATTTCTTTCAGAAGGACCCCCGCTCTGCTTAAGAGGATCCACTAATTCAGGAATGGAGGCGATACATCTGTGATCGGCTCATGCTCGCTGAGCATCCTGCTGGGAACGGAGAGTAAAAACAAGAAATGCTTCTTTAAGTAGTCAGAATAAATGCATATTCAGATAAGCAAGCCCAAAATATTGAAAGTAATTGACGGGAAACATGTGTCTAGGTCACCGGCCGTGGCACTTGGCGAGCGCGTCCTTCAGGTTTTTGCACATTGCAATTTGCTGCAGAGCTAGCCACTGCTCCTTCTTTATTTCCTCGATATTAAATAGCAAAAAGAAACAGACTGTAACACAAGTCAAGAAAGCACTGAAACTGCGCGTGCAACGAGTCGCTTAGTAAGCTGCGGAGTTTGCAGATCTTAGTGGCGCGAAGAAGTCATTGATGCAGCTGCACTAATCTGATTCTTTTCTCCTTTCCGATTCTGGCCTCATTACTCTCGGCTTTGAAGCATTGCATGCAGAGAGAAGACCCTAAAGCCTTGCACCTGATGTGCTTCAGAGCTAGAACGAAAAAGAATTAAAGAAACAAAGTTAAAATTGAAGGCGGAAAGTTCAGCTCTTGCACGTAAATAAGTAGAATCGCCACCTGCAGATCCGCAGATGAATCCCTGAGGAAGTAAGGGATTATTTGTAAGCAAACTAGTTGCATTTAATTTTATTGCTAAATTGAATTGATCCCCACTAAGAGTGAGCTGTGCTGCAACAGGATTTCCCTTCGTAAACAAGCTGCTGCTTCACGAGCAGCAACACCGCTCTGGCTGCAGCCCCCAGTTCCACATAAAGCCGGCTACGCGGGAAAAGACGGTTGCTGACGCATTTGCTGGTATATCATGACAGCATTTTCGGGTTGTTCAAAATCCAAAGCTCTGAGACTTTATGCAAAGGTTGCAATCCATTAGCGGGTAGTACGGGATGCAGTTCAAGTTTGCCACAGTTGGGTCGTTAGCAGGTCAATCTAATCGTAGTTTGAAATACTGCTACCACACTAATACTGACAGACCCGCTCATTAGCCCCAAATATGCCCCTAGAAGCTTTACTGAGCACTTATTGAAGCTCAGAAAGCTACCCCATAGCCCTTCTTCGCCTCATTTCCCCGCTGATTTCGCCGAGCCGGCTAGCATGGCTGGGGTTTCTCTGGAAAGTAGCTTGGACCATTGGGAATCTTTAATCCGTGTTCATACGTATCACAATCTGAATGATGTAGTACTCGCTACTTGCGACTGCCACAGACATGCCCACCGTCAAGCCTTTTTATTGAATATATAGCAAAACAGAAATTTCTTTGAGTCAGCGCCGTTTTCCGGCATCGCAGTGCTTTTGGTCCACTTCAAAAAGGCATTTCAGTTGTACGCCTAGAACTCGCGGCTGCATTTACAGATTTCAAGCATCCGTTTAGCCTGGGTCTCAAGCAGGTAGTCGGTCTTGGGTATTGGAAAAGTCCATTACAATCCATGAATCCATTTTTCTTGTTGGCTGGCTATCTGTCCAGGAAATTAGCTGCAGCCAATGCACTGATTCAAGTAGACACCACTGCAGAAGTTGGTATTCCTTCCAAGACTCTAGACCTGGGCGTCGTTTGCGCTTCATGTTTCCATTTAGGAAGTCAGAGTCCATCGACACAGGACACAAGCACGAAACAAAAGCTTTTCTTAAAAAGCTGGTCTAGTCTTGTTCTTCGCATGCTACAAAAGCGCAATTGGACTTTGTGTCCAAAGTGTTCGGCAGAATTGCTAGACTAAGCCCGAAGCCTATGCCCTAAGCCTGGCATTCTACCTAAGCGCTAGAATCCATACTAGTGTTAACGCATTTTTCCCTAAAAATGGAGCACAGGATCCTTCGGGATACATTCCAGCTGCCATTCACGGATCCTGTGCTGCGCATTCAAGAAGGACCCTAAGCCGATTCTGTCTGTCTTGTTTTGCTCTACTGCGCGCCTCCATCTATTCCGCTTATACAGCTAAAATGAGGGGCTTTTTCGCCATTCTAGAATTAATTTTCGTGTTTGTCCAAGAAAAAAATAGGCAGGAACTAGAGCCTCGTGAAGCTCCTGCACGTATACTGCATTTATTCACAGTGGCTGCACGGCTTGCTCCACTGGTCTCTACAGATGCGCAGGGGATGCAAACAACATGAGGATTGCCTGTTGCGGCATTGCCGCAATGACATTTACTGCAATTCGCACATGAGCTGCGTCCGGACTAGCCAGCAGACCTGGGGAGGCCGAATCCATTCAGCCTCTTTCTGACATTTGTACCCAGCGTCATAGGGGCGGCGGAACAACATGGACAAAGCACCAACGACGGGGCTTAGCAGAGTGTCGAAACTTGATAAAACGAAATTGCAGCAGGCAGGGAGCTTCAGCAGAGGTGAAAATGTGCGGAGGCATGACACTATGCCAGGCCATGCAACAGCTTCAAATAATAAAAGCCCAACCTGTTTTTTGGACTCATTTTAACATGCCGGCGGCGCGAAACGCACTTACTAAATTCGACAAAATCGACATTATGAGGCCCTGATGAAGTTTGCTGTTCGAAGTTAGATGCGGGAGGAACATTATTACATTAGCTCGTACGTTTGAGCCCTAAAGAATAAACTGTACCGAATTCAGCAAGAGCGCTTTGCACAGGTGGCATATTTGAACACGTTCAAAAAGCAGCTTGGATTTTTACTCTACACATTTTTATCCCTATAGACAGCCTCTAAACCACTGCCAAGAGTGCCTATACAGCATCTTGTGGCTTGCCAATTCGCTGCTTTTAATGAAGAGAACGCATAAGTGCTTTCTCGGCGAGAGCTTGCTCGCAAGTGATATGAAGTAATCCAATCGCAATTTAACAACGTTAGCTACCACATTTGCGAGATTTGTACTTTTTGTGCTTCCATGGCAAACACAGGAGGGTGAAGAAGCATTGCACAAGAAAACATGCATAGTGTCGGCCTTCCTCTCTCGGGGTGTCTATATTGTTATTGCTTTTGCGTTGCCTCACAGACTTAAAGATCACAACTAACAGCGCCATATTGATATAGATCCTAACTTTTGCAATCGGGCAGCAGCGTAATAGCCCAAATTTTCGCTGCGGAGTTGTTGGCAGGGAACTGGCATTAGCAGCTAAAGTGGAAGCTGTTCAAGAGGCTGCACAGCTTGGCTGCAAGGCCCCGCTGTAGTTCACACTTTGCGTCGCCATTCTGTTTAAGCTTCCAGGCCTTTTACAAATAATACGAGGCCTTTCAGTCGAATTTCTCAAAGCAGCATCTCCCCGTTGAGAAAAGTACCTATTAAGCCGTGCTCAGCTATTGCGGACGAGCAGAGAACTAGTGCAGCAAAAAAGTTCTGCACAGTCTTTTCCTTGAGCAGTTAAGTTGTCTGTCTTTCTTCACAAAACCAGTGGCGTACTTCCCGACACATCTTCAACTTCGAAGGATGCCACAATCTCTCTTCTGTAAAGTGCTGCAGCGGATTCGCCTCACAAAACGGCTGATTACATGGTCTAAAGTATCAAAAAGGAGCCTTTGACCCCGTTCAGTTTCCTTTGTTTTGACTGCAGGATTTGCTAAGCGCGACAAGGGAATCGAAGAGCTCTCGCAGCTCTGTGGTACCTTTAACCCGCCACTATATGCCGAAACTGTCTACAGCTAGAACATGCACTAAATGCTTTTACAACAGATTGCTGCTGCATTAACTCTCGGAATCTTTCATTTCATCTGCAACTTAAGACTGTGTATGCTTGTTGGGGCCATTATACGTGGATTCAAGCACACCAGATTGGAGTTGCCATAATTTCACAATTCGGGAGCTCCAATCAACTGCCCAGCCATGTTGCCCCAAAGCCGCCAAACCAACACGCTCAATACGTTGTGACATGAGCCGACTGCTATTTCCAAAGGCGACATTATGGCACGGTTATAGTTGTGGCGCCTTGCGTAGAACCAAAGTGACCAGAAAATGCACAAAACACTCATTTCCCGGATACTAATCCAGATTTGGAAAACTACAAGGAGCATAAGGGCTGAAGAATCAAGAATTAGCATTGAGGCTATCAGCCCTGTAAATTCATTCCACTTTTTTTTCTTGTTGCCCGCATCGCAGCCTTCGGAATTTGTGCTTATATTGTTTCAGTGCCATCATAAGAAGCAGAAAATTTGCCAAGCTTTTGATACTGCCCAAGAGACGGCGTATCATTTGTTGTGCTTCATGCAGAATTTGCTGCAATCTAGCTAATGCACAAGTACGAACAAGGGCAAGTGGGAGAGTCGACGCGCTGGGAGGTGAATGGCTAACAAAGAGGAACATTAATTTCCAAAAAAGACGTACCAACTGCGGGTTGTGAAGACCAAACGTTGCAACAAGCACGTCGAGGCAATGTCTCATCGTGTTGCTAACTGCCCACCTGTCCTGAGATGCCGTTTGCACGGCGTGTCCGTATGTGCAGCTATCAGTGAGCCCGACCCATATAGATTTAGAAGAAGTGCTGAGTAAAATGGTACTAGGTTCAGAATTGCAGTACGAACGCTTTTGCGTATTTGCCGAAAACCCCATCTACATCTAGGCCTTCATTTCTGCTGATGCGTGCAGCACGTGGGCCACGAAGGAGCGTCAAAAACATTCGGTTACAGCAGCATGAGTGCTCCGACGAAAAAAAGCGGCATTGGCGAGTCACATGCAATAGGCGTTAGCTGCAAGTGTTTTAGGGCGATGCAAAACTCATCATTGCTGTAGCAAACTCACAGCCTTCTACATCACCTCTGGCCATAAAACAGGCAACCGAA